GGGAATCTGGAGCCCGCGCCCCGTGCGCGCTGAGGGGGGGGGGGTACAGAGCCTCGCAGACCCCGAAGCACCCGCCTGCCCCTGAGCCCATCCTGGTTCAGGCCCCGGTGTCTCCAAAACCAAACCCGGATGGGTTTTGAGTTTCTTTGCCGAGGGCCGGAGGGCTTAGACTCTCCCAGGAAGGGCACCAGGTGCCTTGGAGAAGTTGGGGGGCGGGTGAGTGGTGGGATTGAGGAACAAATGTCGGCTGGAGGCTCGTGGCAAGGTCACCAGCTGAGCTCTCCGCTGGGGGTGGAGGACCGAAGCCAGGACAGAAGGTACACGGGTGCCCACGGGTGTGCACCCACCTCGGTGCCCGCATGTGGGTGCATAGCGGCCAACGCACCTGCCTGCACGGAGGAGGCCAGCTTTTGGCCTAAGAAGTCTCCTTCTGCCCCTAGATTAAAAAGTAGGTCTCTGGCTCTGAAAAGAGCATTTACAAAGAGCAGAAATGGAGGCCCTGGTTCTCTCTAGAAGCCCTCGCCTCCAGGTTTCTATTTTCTTCCTGGTTACAAATAATCACCAGCCTCCAGCTCACCTCTGGGCCTTTCTCCTCCCCAGAACTCGCAGGGAAACCCGGAGTGGATTTTGGCAGGAGCGGAGCGGGGGTCACTTCTCTCCCGAGCGCTTCTCAAACTGTGGCTTCTCCCGTTAAAATGTGGGGACGCGCTCTTTAAAACGTTGGCATTAATTCTCTCTTTCTCTCTCTCTCTCTCTGTCTCTGTCTCTGACTTTCTGGGTCTCCCTCCTTTTCTCCCCTAGGCGGATGTTTCCCAGTTACAAAGTGAAGGTGACGGGCCTTAACCCCAAAACGAAATACATCCTCCTCATGGACATCGTTCCCGCGGATGACCACAGATACAAGTTCGCAGACAATAAATGGTAGGCACCGGCGTGGGCAGTTGAGGGGGAGCAGGGAGGAAAGGGGGGGAGAAAAAAACCTCCTCCCCTCCCCCGCACCGAACGAAGCAACATCTTCTGAACTCCTACTGTGCCTTAGAGGCTCTTGCTGCTATCCCCACGCATCCTCCGGACCACCCCGAGAGGAAGAAACAGCAGCCCTTAGCCCCCATTTTATAGACAAGAAAACTGAGGCTCACGGGAGGTAAAGGGCTTGTTATCTGTTGCTGCAGCCGCGGGTTGTGGATTTTTCAAAAGGGTATTGTTTCCAAGCGCTGGAGGTATTTCTGGGGGCATAAAACCATTTACAGTTATTTTTTATGAGTTACCTGCTTTGAACATGCCTTTTTATGAAATTGCAAAGTCGGGCCGTGGTATTTGAGTCAAACAGGCAAGAGAGGAGAGGTCCATTCCTTGGGTGGATTGCTCCCCGTGGCTGCCCAGCGAACGGAGGCTCCAAGAGGAAGGCCCGTTTGAAAGCCCTCAAGGATTTTTCTTAGACTTTTTTTTTTTTTTTTTTTTTTTTTTTTTTTTTTGTCCAGAGCCTTCCAGAACCCACCGATTGTTTGAGGGCCGCCAGGCTGCATGCCCCTGGTGCAGGGGAAGGAGCGAGGTGGAAGAAAAGAGAGCCGGGTGGGGGCTCGCCTGGCTACGGGCGTTCTGGGCGCCTGGGCTTGTAGATGCCAGGGGAGGGTCAGGACATTTCCAGATCATTCTCTTAGTCAGCTGCCCTCGCCAGCACCACGGGGCGCTAAGTCTGGGTGGGTTTCCGCCCCATCTCGGTCTAGGTCTGTGACGGGCAAAGCAGAGCCCGCTATGCCGGGCCGCCTTTACGTGCACCCAGACTCGCCGGCCACTGGGGCACACTGGATGCGGCAGCTGGTCTCCTTCCAGAAACTCAAGCTCACTAACAACCACCTGGACCCATTCGGGCACGTAAGTACCAGGAGGGCTCCTCCGGTCCACCCCTGCTCCCAGTCTCTCTCTGTCTCTCTTGTCCCCGCTTCTCTCCTCCTAGGGTTTCTCTCTCTTCTTGCCTCGTCACACTTTCAGCCGCTCCTTTCCTTGTCCCGCTCCACCCGCCTGAGTCTTTTCCTCCAGGCTCCGGCCTTCCCTTCTCTTCCTTTTCCTCTGATTTCTCTCACCTTCTTCCCCTCTGGCTCCACCTCTCTCCTGTGCGGTCCTCTCTGTGGTCTGCTGTCCCATGCTCTGGGGCCACCTTTCCCGGGCAACTGGAGAACCGGGGTCTTGCGGAGAGGCAAGTGCGCACCCCTGGCCTGGCCCCCAGTCCCATCGGTGATTAGGGACGGCGGCTGCGTTTCAGATCTTCAGAAAACACGGTCCTTCTAGCCCAGTGGGTACGCAGCACCCGCTGCCCAAAGGCTGGACCGTGGTGGGAGCCATAGATACCTTCCCTATTCGCTTCCAGATCTTGCCTTATTATTGAGACATTCTGGCTGAGAGGGAGACCCCAGGCCACCTGCTCCCTCTTTTATGGATGGGGAAGCCAAGCTGCCAGAGACCAACCCTGATATCCTTTTTAGCTGATACTTTAGGGTTTATGTCCCCCCCCCCCCCGACTTCTAGCCTTCCTCACCCCCAGTTCCCAGGATGGGCTGGGCACCAATTCCCGCAGCAGGCACACTAGACCAGGGTCCTAAACCTGGAGTCTGGTTGGAGAGAACAGCCTTGGTGAACCCCCTGAATCTGCATGCAGGACATTGCATGTGCTGCCCCCCGCCCCACCTTCCAAGAGAATTGTGTAGCTTTTAGTGGATTCTCTAGCTTTGAGTAGATTTCTCTTCACCAACGAAAAGCAAATGAAGAACAAAACGCCGATTTGGGGGGAAATGTCTCTAGGTTTTTTCGTTGGCAATAATTAATCACCAAGACAGAACACGGTCTCCGGATTCGGTGTTCAAAACCCTTAGCTTGCTGATTCCACCATAAAGTGGGCTGGTTGGTCTTAGAACACTTGACCCTCATGGCAGCCTAGAAACGAGGACAGAAATATGGGAGGGGAGGGGAGTTGCCCAAGGTCATGCAGCTTGTATGTGGGAGCAGAGATCGAGGCTTGATCTAATTCCAAGGGTGGTCTCTGTCCCGCCATGTGGTCTCTTTAGGGAAAATCAACAAACACACGGTGCCCAGTTGAGGGAGCTGGGTTTGCAAGGATTTGATCCAGAGGGGAGACGGTTTGGGAAGGTCCAAATGGGAGACTCTGGTCCCGTGGGGCCTTAGTGCTAAAACACTGAGCCCCCAGGGTCTGGGGTGGGGAGGGGACATTGAGTGCTTGCACCACTGGCCGCTGGGGAAGAGAGAAGGCAGGCCCATTCCCTTCCTGTGCGGCGGGAAGGAGCAGGGGGTGCAGAGGGGCGTCTCTAGACAAAACGCCCGGCCTCCTTTCCGTTTCAACCAGGCAGTTTGCCCGCAGCGGCCGGTAGGCCGGAGCGTGCACTGCACAGAAATGCCGTCGAGCGTGCGTGGGCGGTCAGCTGGCCAGGGTGACGCGCACCTGCGGGCACCGGACCGAGACTTTAGCTTAAGCGCTGGGGAGAAGCGGGACGGTTTTGTAAGCGTCCGGCGTGCTACTCCCGCCTGGCTGGCGGCCTCCCGCGGGCTGGGTGCGGGGGACCCTTTTGTGTGTGTGTGTGGGGGGGTCTCCGTGGAACCCTGGTGCGCGGCTGCGGGGACCGTGCTCTGGCCCCACGTGGGCGCCTGGCTTTTCCCCTGCGGTGCCTTCTGTGGTCGCGATTGGCTAGGCGCCCGGGGAAGGCTCGCAGCCCCGCAGTCAGGCTCCCGCACCCTGGAGCGTTTCTGGTCCTCCCGAGGGCACCGAAGAGGGAGGGTGCTCCGGGCTGCCCTGGACTGCCCTTCGCAGCCCTCCCCCACCCCCCAACTCCGGACTTGGGGTCCAGAGCCGCCCTAATGAAATTAGGAGTCATTAGATCGCCCTCGCGCTGATGTCTCGACACTGTCCCCGGCCGTCAAAGCAATTTGGCTAAGCCGGGACGATGGCCGCGCCGGCCGGGGGCTGCGGCGGCGCGCGGGGCCCCGCTGCGTCTCTCTGTCGCCACGCCGCCCCAGCCCGGCGTCGCTATCGGCCAGGGAGGCGGCCGGACCGCGGCGGGCCGGAGATTAGAGCCGCGCGGCCCGGGGTCGGGGAGCCGCGGGGCCCCGGGTTCGCGCCCCTTCTCCGCTTCCCCTCCCCCTCCTCCGGGCGGGTCTCAAGGGTTGGCCCAAGGACCTTGCCCCAGGGTCATCAACGCAAATATCCAAGACACCGGGACAGCCTCCGGCCGCTCCAGTTGGCTGTCCTGGGGAGAAAGCAGGCCCGAGTTCCATCCTGCCC